TCTCACCGTTCGACCCAGATCGATACGCTGAGGTCATCGAGGCGACGGCGTTGGGTGTCGATGTTGCCGCGATGCGCAACGCAGATATGACCAAGATAGGATCCGACGGCATCACCCTTTCCGGGGGCCAGAAGCAGCGTGTCTCGCTGGCCCGCGCCCTGTATCTGCACTCTGATCTGCTGGTGCTGGATGACGTCTTCAGCGGTCTAGATACTGACACTGAGGACCAGGTCTTTCGACGTGTATTTGGCCCAGGAGGCTTGCTTAGGCGTCGAGGCACGACGGTTGTCTTGTGTACTCACAGCATCAGGCATTTGCCCTCCGCGGACTACATCCTGGCTCTAGGGAACGGCACCATTGAGCAGCAGGGAACCTTTGACGAATTGATGGCCAGTCAGGGTTATATTCAGCGTCTTGGGCTGAAGAGCTCCTCTGACAGTGATGTGTCTTCTGAGGGATCGAAGCCGGAGCCAAGCGCCCAGGGACATCAGGCCCGGACTCTGGACATCGCGGCGATTGATGCATCGTCAGCGGCTCCAGAAGTGAATGAGTCGCGCCGAGCCGGTGACAGAACCGTGTACAAGCACTATATCAAGAGCATGGGATTGCTCCTGGCACTTTGGAGTCTGTTCTTTGCGGCGCTTTGGGGCTTCTTTACCAATTTTCCAACGATTTGTGAGTTTTCGTCTTTTGTTTATTCGGGACAACGGCTGCTCGACCTTGGTGACACGACTAATACTGCTCGTCGCAGGGCTGACCTATTGGACCGACGATGTTAACTCTAATCACCCTAAGCACGGCTATGCCTACTATGCTGGTATATATGCTCTGCTGCAGGTCAGCGGCATGATTTCGCTTCTTCTTCTCGGAGTGGCTCTGTTGATCGTTTCGGTCAAGCGTGCAGGCGCCAATCTTCACCAGGATACCTTGAAAACACTGATGCGCGCGCCTCTCGGGTTCTTCACCAAGACAGACACTGGTGTAGTCACGAATCTGTTCTCACAGGATCTCAACCTCATCGACACTGAGCTGCCGGATGCCGTCCTGAATACCATGTTTTGTGTAAGTTTCCGCTGCAAGTGACAATGGCCTCCTTGGTCTGACGAGAAACCTGCAGGTCTTTCAATCCATTGGCCAAGCCGCCGTTATGTTGACCTCTTCTCCGTACTTGGCGATAAGCTACCCGTTCCTCGGTGGTCTGTTGTACATTGTGCAGTGGTTCTACCTGAGAACTTCCAGACAGCTGCGACTGCTCGACCTGGAAGCCAAGAGCCCCTTGTAGTACGTTTGCTGGAATTGTGATGTCCCTTTCCCCGTGACCCATGCTGATATGCGATAAATAGCACTCATTTTCTCGATACCGTCAAGGGCATCACTACCTTGAGAGCCTTCGGTAAGTGCCCAAGATGGCCTTTGAACTTGCCTGTGATGTCAGGAGCTTCTCGCACAACTGCTGACGGTGTCGTCAGGGTTCATGCCCAATGAAATCACCAAGAATGCCCATCTGATCGACTCCAGCCAGAGGCCAGCATATCTGTTGCTCATGATTCAGTCATGGCTGAACCTTGTCCTCGACATCGTGGTCATGATCATGGCGGCCGTCCTGACGACTTTGGCCGTCCGGCTGCACTCCAACGCTGGCTTCGCTGGTGCCTCTCTGGTCACCCTCATGGGCTTTGGTGATAATCTCTCGGGAATAGTCACGTGGTGGACGAGACTGGAAACGTCGATCGGAGCGATTGCCAGGCTCAAGGCGTTCAACGAGACGGTGGAACCGGAGGACATGGACGGGGAATCCATCGTGCCTCCTGAGCAGTGGCCTCAGACTGGCGCGATAGAGCTGAATGGTGTATCCGCGAGTTATGAGTAAGAATCGTCCCGTGACTCTTGACACTGATTGTTGCTGATTCAGAGACAGCTCGGGTGACAAGGCAAACGGTGCGCCCAATCTGGCGCTCCGTGACATTCATCTGTCCATCAAACCAGGTGAGAAAGTCGCCATCTGTGGACGCACTGGCAGCGGCAAATCCAGCCTCATTGCCTTCCTTCTCAAGCTGCTGGATCCGTTGCCAAACACGGTTGGAAATGCAGTCATTGATGACACGCCTCTCCATCTCGTGGACCGCGGCGCCCTCCGCCAGCGCACCATCGCCGTACCCCAGGAAGCCGTGTTCCTCCCCGACGGGTCTACCTTTCAGAGTAACCTAGACCCGTCTGACAGCTCGACGGCAGAGGAATGCCGGGATGTTCTCGAGGCTGTTGGCCTTTGGGAATTCGTTTGCGACCGAGGCGGCGTCACCGCCGGCATGAATGCGGGAACGCTCAGTGCCGGACAACGACAGCTCATGTCGCTGGGCCGGGCGTTATTGAGACGCAGAGTTCGGGCGCGGGCTCTGGGCATCGGAGATGGCGGATCCGAGGGCGGTGTGCTCCTGCTGGATGAAGTGAGCTCCAGTGTAGACCACGGGACAGAACGAGTGATGCAGGAGATTATCAAGGCCGAGTTCAGGGCCTACACGGTCGTGGCAGTCAGCCACAGGCTTGACATGATCATGGACTTTGACCGCGTCGTCGTCATGGACACGGGGGAGATTGTCGAGGTTGGTAATCCAATCATGCTCGCCAATGAGGCCGGGACAAGATTCGGTGACTTGGTGAGGGCTGGGAATGCATAAAGACGTTGAAAAACATTGATGCAAGGCCGGAAAATAAAAATAAAAAAATGCCAAAAAAGATCGCTTGCGGTTTTGAACCGCAGGTCTTTATTCGACAAGTCTGTCGTACCGACCGCTCCCACTAGCATTACCCAGCATTCAGTTTAAGGTCATGACCCAATCCCGGGACCGTTGAAAAAGTTGTGGTTTGTCTCGCTATTTGAGGTGTCGCATCGTTGCTGTGGTTGGTTGATTGGCCGGAAACTTCAGGTGTCAACAAAGCCTCGCAGGTTTCAAACACTGCATGACCTAGGTACCCATCAGCATACGTTTTGTTTAGAGGGCGACCACTTGAGTGTATTATACCCTTTGCCTATCGGCTCTGGTTCTGTTGCGTCCTTGATCGGCAATAGCTCGCCAAGGTTGAAGGTACGCTTTTCGCCATTTTTTTTTATCATGTGCTATCGTGTCTGGCGGTGCATTCATGCAGAGCTGCATAGTTCTGGTCTGTATGTACATTGCGAGAGGGAATTTAAAACCAAAGCCATCCGGTCTGAGTGTTATGGCGACGCATGACCAGAAGATGTTCTGGCTCGACTAGTAAAGCGTTGCAGTCGGAACGGGTATCCATCAAAGTTCTGGCCACGACTGGGCCAATTCACCTTGAGTAGAAAGTAATTGCAGAAGGTGATCTGCCTCAGCGGTTCGAACAGCGGTGTCTCAAATTCACCGAGCTCTTCTTGCTTGTCCCACCAGGGGATCTCCGGCCGGCATCCGGGGTTGATTTGTAGCGTGACGATCAAGGTATGTAGCGATCGCATCGAGGCGACGACGGCCCAGACGCATTCCCACGGCGTGTCACCAACGCCATCACCTCCGTCCCATCCGGACCAGACGCCACCAAAAGCGTCGTGCAAGTTGGCACAGAGCCCATCCCATGAAGTGTGTAGTGCAAGGGACAGTCGTACATGCCGCACGTTGTCCAGGTGGTGAGGAATTACCGTCCGAGGAAATACGCAAATGGAAACAAAGTTGCTAAAGTACAGCGTGCTTGTTCTGTAAAGAGTGTCAATGGCCTCGGAATACCTGCTCAATGTATTAGCCGTAATTCGAGATCCATGACAAGTAAACCATGTCAACTGAAGTACAATTGGGATATGAAGTTTGTCTCACATTAAACGGCAGACTGTCAGAAGAGCTCCTGTAGGGCTCCTCTCGGAAAGCGACTCACGGTCTCGAAATAAATCGAGCTGTTGTTGCTCCAAGGTGAAGTTGCGTTCCAAAGGGACTCCGATGCATTTTCTATGATCATCCGTATCGGTCGATGCCGGATGTAGACGCCGTAAACCAGCAAGCTTCTCTCCATGGACGAACATATGCAGATGCTCTGGCCCAAATACGTGCTCATAGATCATTGATCTTATTTCTGGAAGTAACACTTTGAAGAACAACGAAGACGATTGAGGTAGTACGTCTGCAGACATCGTTGAGAGCGAGCACACTGTGCTTGGTCGGATGGTGATACTATCGGACCCTACAATTCAAGAATCGAGTGATTCGCGATTTCCTGGTTTTCGTGAAGCGATGGTGTGTATCTTGTGAGCATGACAGTTGTTGAAGCCTTGGCACTGGATCAGATACGAGACGCTCACCATGGATATCGTCAACGCTTTGTAGGCTCCAATGCCAACCGTCCTAGGTTCTGATCTGATAGTCCTACTCAGCCTCTCCTTTGAAGTGGCAAGCGGGGCTGGCTGAGGTGGCTATGTTGACTTGATGATGAAACTAAAAGATGACAGTGGCAGTTTTTGGTCAGTAATCTGGTGATGTTTAGGCGATATTTCTTCGTCTTGTAGTCATCGTATAAATAATCGAGGCATGTGCTCGTGGACTTGGTTGACACGCGTGGGACCTAAGGCGTAGGATCTAAGAGTGGTTGCTTCGTCTTGGGGTTGCAACTTTGTGTCATGAGGATATTCATCTTGTGGATCTGGTCGATTCGAATTCTGCAAGCTGAAGCGTCTTGACCTGGATATTTCAGCCTTTGTGTTTTCGAGTTGCCCAAATTTTGAGCTCTTGGTGTAAACTGGATCTTAGGTGCGCATGAGGTCGCCACCAGATTACTGTAGGTAGTGGAAAGACGAAGTATAACGAGAAGGCGCGACTGGGATGGAGCATGACCCCACACCACACTTTCCTCTCGTAACCGACCCAAGAATCTCAAGATTCAAACAAGCGGACTGCTAGAATATAAATGGCAAAAAGAGCAATATTTTTCAACAGCAACCAATCAAGTGGTCAGCCGATCAACGGCAGGCACCATTGAGACACATTCTCCCAAAAACAGTCGCTTTAGCTCACTTGGGAGAGCGCCAGACTGAAGCCCAAACTTCAGGACCTTGTTATCTGGAGGCACTGTGTTCGATCCACAGAAGCGACATTGGAAACATCTTTTTGCTTTTTTCTCTCTCAGTTTATTTGTGCCTTGCAATTAGCTTTGTGTGCAGTCATCCTTTTTGCGTGATGCACCCTTTACGTCTTTGCGCAAATGAAATAAAAGAATTTTCTGGATTGCGGCCAAAATATTGATGGATGCATAAACGCTTGAAAGTCCAGGGCTTTCTACTTCGTCGTTAGGTGTCGCACGTACCAGCGGTATTCAACCAGTAACTTTCTTTTGTTTTACTCCGTGTGCCAACTTGCATTACCCCAGGAATTTGCGGCTATCAATTATCAATGCAGAGCGCCATTCTCGGACGAGCGTCACATGAACAGGTACATATGCGGCAAGATTGTATAATCATTGTTGGTTGTATCCGTACAGACCGATGACATTTTCTTGAAATTTGAGACGAGTTCAGGCAAAAGCGGTGCGCTATATGGTTATAACGGAATAAATCAATGCCTTTCACGCTGTCGACGGCATCGAATCTGGCGGCTCCGCCGATTGACTCCGACTTAACAATGGCACCTATGCAGAGAAAAAGTAAATCTCATGCCATTCATGCAGTGCCTGAGTATAGAGAGCAGCAAGGACCCAGCGAACCATCTACTACCTGAATAACAGCCACAAATACTCTGACACCTTGTTACCTTGTTGAAATAGACCCCAAATATGACAACGGGAGCCAGCGATCCGCAGCTGAACTTTTGCATCCATACCAGCTTATTTAGCGGACGGCAGGATGGGGTCTTTCACCTTGGCTGCACCAGGAACGGTTGTCCACGTCTCACATCAAAACTTCCTTTCCATATTCCCCGAGTCAGTCTGGTTCGCTGATCTGCAATCCCCAGAAGAGACGGCTCATCAATCCCCGGACAGGGCGACCGGGCATTGTCTTCTCATCTGGACTAGCGATTCATCAGCTCATCCAAAGATTGTCTTGGCTGTTCGGAAGCTTAGACGCACTGCTGAGCATAGCGCCTTCTCTATTGAAATCAACCACCAAGAAAAGATGCCGTCCCTTCTTCGTTGGCAGCGTGGAAGCCTGTAGATTTTAGTGATTAGTACCTGGAATGGATCTTGCGTCACTCAGCTGGGGCTGCGGGTCGTACAACTGTCAATTGCTCCCACAGCCACACCTTCTTTTGTTTACTTGAGGAAGCCATCCCCTTCTTTTTTGTCGAGATTCTCATATCCTAGACTTTCTCTTCATTCTCTTGCTCACGGCGCAAAGAAGAGAGAATCCCACTGAAATCATGCGCGTCTCTCACATCTGCGCCCTCGCTGGCTCGTTGGTCGCCGGCGGGGCAGCTAGCGCCATCCCCCTGGAGCAGTCTGCTCAGCAGCATGTCATGCTCAGCCCAGACTCGACCGTGTCGGCCAACCGGCCCATTGAGACGGGCGTCGGTCACTTCAGCGAATGGTCCCGCGAGACCAAGAGGCAGTTCTTGATTGACTGGCAAGGTGGAAGGGCTTCTGAATGGATCATCGTTCAGGGCAACGAGGGCGGTGACCTCGATTCCATGACCGCGGCTCTGACCTGGGCGTATCATCTGCAGCATGCTACCGCCAACACATCGGAGCCTCTCAAGGCCATTGCCCTGCTGCAGACGCCCACGGACGCATTGGATCTGCGCCCAGAGAATAAGATTGCTCTGGACAACTCCCAGATGAGCTCCGGCCACTCGGATCTGCTGACTCTGGACGAGCTGCCAGAGGACCCCCAGACGCTCTCAAACGATATCAAGGGCATCGTCATTGTTGACCACGCCGTTCCCTTGAGGAAGTGGAGCGACGCAAAGATTATCAGCATCTTTGATCACCACAAGGACAATGGAGCCGGACCTGATGCAAAGCCCCGAATCTTTGAAAAAGTGGCAAGCTGCACCACGATTGTCGCTCGACAGATGCTCGACGAGCTGGAACAGCTGCCCGAAGAGTACCACATGCCTCACGAGCTGCTCGAACTTATCTTGTCGGCAATCGCTATTGACTCTGGTGGTCTCGCCAAGGCGACAGACGCGGACCGCGAAACCGCCGCCAGAGTCTTGGCACGGAGCAACTGGCGCGGCAAGAAGCTCGAAAAGAAGATGCGCAAGCTCGACGACAAGCTCAGTGATGCCAAGCAGGACCTGGATCATCTCGGCGTTCGCGATCTCCTGAGGAGAGACTGGAAGGGCGACTTGGTCGACACCCCCTCGCCTCGCACCCCAACGGTCAGCCTTGGCTTCTCGTCGATTCCGTACTCATTCGACAACCAGATCACCAAGACTGAGTTTGGCGAGCTGTTCAGCTGGTTCGCTATTGAAGCCGCCTGGACCGCTCAAATGGGCGCCGACATTAGCATCGCCTTGAACAAGTACAAGATTCGTGACGAAAACGGCAAGAAGCACAAGATCAGAGAAATCGTCCTCTGTGTCCGAAACGATGTGCGCATCGATGAGAGGCAAGCAGACGACCTCTTCCGTACCGTCTCGGAGGCTATTGAGAAGGATGAGACCCTCAACGTCAAGCCATGGCACCGTGCAAGCGAGCTCGGCAGGCGACAGATGATCTGGACGCATGAGCGTTCGGACGCGGGACGAAAGGTCATTCGTCCCATTGTCGAAGCTGCAGTGAGGGACTGGGACATGTAAGATAACCATTGAAATCCTTTGCTAGCCGGCGTTGGTCTCAACTTGATGGGATGGTTCCTTTTCGTCGGCAGCCGATTTGGGTGCATCTTAGAGGTTGCACATATCAACCACAAAAAGTATTGGAGTGTGATAACATACAATCAAATCACTTAAGCTAGAACTTAGACAGAGAAGAAAGCAATTTCCTGTGTAATATGTGTGTATTTTACCTCGCAATTTAATGGACCTCGATACAAAAGTATCTGGCTATCTTGTAGAATGCGTACGATTTATGCCAAGTCACTATGCCTAGAGAGAAAGAATCAAGATGCCTGAAGCGTTCACACCTGAGCTTCTACATGATACATCAGGCATCTTTATTCTCAAGGAACATTGCGATTCATGATCGATACCAGATCCCCTTCGATTCAAAATCTGGTTCCAGCGCATCTCTGAAAACACCGGGTTGAACCCGTCTGTTTTTGCCAACTTCTGTTTCAAAGTCATCGAAGGGATTGGCTCCGTCTCCGTAGACGAAATCGTTGGCTTCCTCGTCGAGGCAGACGTATCGGGACGTCGGGATATCATGCGAGATCAGGAAGGGGACATGCACAGAGATGTGTGGCTGCCTGTTGACAGGCCGTGTACGCCAATCCAGATCCTCGCGGATACGACGCAGCAAGAGTCCCCAGGCTGGCCGCTGCGTCAGGTGGTCAAGAGTCTCGAAGGCCTCATCTTCGTACTCGGACGCAAATCTCAAATGGCTCAACCTGATGGATCGCAAGGTCTGTGGCAGCTCTTGAAAAATGGACACGAGCTCATCGTGTGCCACAACGGCCATCTCCAGCCCGAAATGCTGCAACTTTGGCCACCGGTCGTAGGGTAGCATGTAACGGAGTGACAGGAGGTGCTTGGCCCTCAAACTCGAAACCTCTTTGCACTCATCCACCTGGAACCGTATATCAAAATGCTCAAGATCCGTCGCCTGCAGCAGAGCACTCCTCAAACGCCTTCGCCTGATAGATTCCTGTTTCAGAGCCTCGTGGGGTTCCTGAGGAAATCGCACATCAGTACGCACACGAAAGAACATATCCACGCGGCGAAATCCGGGTCGGCGGAGCATCGTCACGAAGTCTTGAGGTTTATCGATATCAACAGCTAATCGTTCTCCGAACAATTCCAAGAGCAATTCAGTCGCCTAAGGGTCCTTTTCGCCTTGATTCCTGTATAGCGATGGCTCGAAAGCGGCATATCTTCCATTTGATTGAATCAATAATTCGGTTACGTGATGGTCCAACGTAGCGAGCTGTTGCAGAATTTTGGGCCATCTGCTCTGGGGTGGTCGACACACGTCCAGCCTTCTGACAGCATTCTCTCGTTCCTCCGGCTCTGAAAGGGAGGGCTTGCCTCTGGCAGGCCAGCCTTGGAGGATCGGGTAGTTGAAGCCATATGGGAACGAACGAATCATGGGCGTTTCGTATTTCGGCGCCAACAGGAACCCGTGGGCGTCGTTTGTCATCGTGACTCTGCGCAGTGCCGGAAACCGTTCAAGGCCATACGCCAGAGCTTGAACATCAGCTTCGCTCCTGATAGCTTCTTTCTGCTGCTGCAGGAGTCGGTGATAGTATTTCCAGCTTTCGTCGTTGTTCAACTCCGCAAGAGCCTGCTGCTCACGCAGCTTATCCGCCTGCAACGGTGCTCTATCATGACATCCCCCGCGGTGATACATCTCGGAGCAGTTGTAGCCACATATGATGTCGTACCAGTCGGGCGCATGATTCAACCACTCTTCTCTTAGGGCAATATAGTTTGGACTGTTCATCCAGAGACTCATCGGATCCCCTGGGATCTGCAGACGCGCATCGTCCCAGATGATCTCAACGACGCGATGGCAGAAGGTCTCGTGACCAGCAATAGATCGGAAGACCTCGATATTCAGAGTATTGGCGGAGAGAAACACCCTGTCCAGGCGAAGACGAAACCTGTTCAAGAAATCTCTGCTGACCAAGCGGAGGTTCTTGATGTCGCGATTCGGCAGGTAGCTTTCTACCATGCCACAGAGCTCCAAAGGAAGAGCAGTGATCGACATGGCGTAAAGATGACAAACAAGTCAAGACTTGTTGCGTTGGTGCCAGGGTATTCGCTACGCCATCACGTCAGTCGCTTTCTTGGATATTGATACCATGACACAGCTGAAATATGTCGCTCGAGCAACGAAGCAGTGCTATGTTCTGTATGAAGCAAGACTCACCTATGATCTATTAGCCAGTGGATGTGATTGCGAATGTCTGCTCGGACAGGTATTCAGAGAGGTGAGGCAAAAGGGAAAACCAATGAATGAAGTTGGGTTCGGCCACGCAGATTCATCAAAGCCGAGCCGCT